GGAAAAAAACTCAGACTTCTATCTTTATTTAAGGGGAAAAAAAACACTCGTCTTTTTGTTTGGATTAAATTCCTCCACAAAAAATGATAATGACATGGGCAAACTTAGACCCGGCAAATGAGTGGATCAGGTTTGGTTAGGATCAGATTATAACATGTCATGAGTTAGAATGAGTGGAGTTAAAATAAATCATGGGTTAATAAAAGTTGACTCTAGCTCTCCATCATAGATCATGGGTCAATATGTGGGTTGACCCAATTGATTTTTTTTTTCTCAATAATTTTTATTTATTATCATTTAAAAAAAATTATTCAAAAGAATTTAAAATGAAATTTAACATCTTATAAAAAGACTTTTTTCCCCATTAATTTAAAGAATCATATTTACAGTTCATTAGAGTCACCTTCTCTACTTCCCTTCAAAAAACATCACTTATCAAATTCAAGAACACCATACACTTATCAAATTCAAAAACACCACACACTTATAAATCTCAATAGTAAAAAAAAAAAAAAAAAAAGCATTAATAGATGACAACCAAAAAATGCAAACATCATTGGAACATATTTGTTCTAGTCATTGCTTTCAAAGAATCAATCAATTGAATGCATTTGAGTAAGCAAAGGAGAAGATCAAATAGAATTTTTACTTGGAATGAAAAGAAAACTAAAAAGTGTAAACAACTTTAAAGGCTTTAGAGAGAAAAGTTGGTAACAAAAAAAGCACTTATCAAACTCGAAAGAGAAAAAAAGAAAAGGTTGAGTCAATGCAATGATGATTCGATAAGATTAATATCTAAGTTTAAGATGATGTTAAACACTAAAGAGAAAAGATGGAGTTGAAGTTTGAAAGTTGAAGGCTCTATAACCTAGAGGTTGACGAAATATGAGAAGAGATTGAATTTTAAAAAGTTAAAGTTTTAGGAAGTATTAAAATAAGTAATGATATGAAAGGTTGAGAGGTAAGTCATGATTGAAGAGAAATTATTTTTGCTTCTAGAACCTAATGAGTTAAGAGAATCAATTAATCAATTTGGGAGTATTAATCAATTATTAGAGTTTCAAGTGAGATTAAAAATTGAAAAATAAAATAAATAAATAATAAATTTAAAAATTTAAAATTTTTAGACCAACAAACAGATGAAGCCTGTTAACCTAATAAACGGATCCATTATTGATCCATAACCCGTCAAATTCTCTTAATAGGCCATTGACAACTCATTTATCATAAATATCTTACCTAACGCATTTTAAATGAGCAAGTGATGGATAAGATAGCGGGTCGAATAAAGAATTGCCAGTCCTACAGCAGAGTGACGGCCGACTTCTCTGTTCGGTGTTTAAGACTTTAAGCAGTTATACCGCTTAGAGAGAGAACCAAAAATGGGAGCTCTTACAGCTGCTGCTCATGTCCCTTCACTTTATATCCCACCAACATCAACTATACTCCACAGGGTCCGATTCACAAAAACCACTAGTCCTAATATTCCCATCTCATCAAGAAACATGTCAAAGTTCAAACCTTTGAATACCTTATCATCATCCACAGTCTCAATAGATTCCATGGACCCTCCTGATCCAGAGCTTGACGCTGAAACTGAGGGGGACAAATTTGATTGGTATTCAGAGTGGTATCCGGTTATGCCGGTATGTGATTTGGATAAGAGGGTGCCGCATGCAAAGAAAGTGATGGGGCTTGATTTGGTGGTGTGGTGGGATAGAAATGAAAGTGAATGGAAAGTGTTTGATGATTCTTGCCCTCATCGGTTGGCTCCACTGTCTGAAGGGAGAATTGATCAATGGGGAAGACTGCAATGCGTGTACCATGGGTGGTGTTTCAGTGGCTCCGGTAACTGCAAATTCATTCCTCAGGCACCTCCAGATGGACCACCGGTAATCAGTTTTGTATGGAAAATTCACATTTTGGCCTGCCAAGATTGATATTATGCATTCTTTGGTTCTTAGATAGGGGTCCAGCATACTTCAAAACTTAAAGAAGTTGTTAATTATGAAGTTGGTAAATGAATGCAAGGAGCTTAAAATCTGTAATTAATGTATAAAGTAGCTATTTTTACCTGATTTGTGCATCTGCTTCACTTAAAATGAGGAAGAAATGTTACACCAATTGTTTGGCAATCCATGGATATTTGTTCCTTTCATACTTCATCTTGTAGCAGTGGTTTTGTTTATATAGTGTATGTTTGGTGAAGTATTGTTGCAATTGTAGATTCTGGTAGTGTAAGTAGAGTTGATCCTTGCATTCAAACTATGCAGGTTCACACATTCAAGAAAGCATGTGCTGCTGTTTATCCAAGTACGGTGCAAAATGACATTGTCTGGTTTTGGCCAAGTACTGACCCTCAGTACAAAAACATACTTACGAGGAAAAAACCCCCTTATATCGCAGAGTTGGATGATCCATCATACACTAAGTTAATGACGAACCGGGATATTCCTTATGGGTATGCAAAAATAATGCTGCTGTATTTATTCAATATAGTAATTCTTTTTAGAAGAGAAGCAGAGAAAACCTGTTCATTTTTTCCTCTCTCTTCTTTTTTTTTTTTTTTTTTTTTTTTTTTCATTTGTTAACATCTGTTCAATTTTCATAAAGTCTTAGTGAGTTCTAGGTTTATGAAATGGGCATTTTCAGGTATGAGATCTTGATTGAAAATCTAATGGATCCTGCTCATGTTCCATATGCACATTATGGAATAATGCGAGTTCCACAACCCAAAAACAGATATGCAACTACATGCGCCTTTTTTTATTATGTCCATTTACCTTCAAATAGTCATGTTTTATGAATAACACTGAGTCCTTTTCACAGTTAAGGCTGATAGAGAAGGAGGCAGACCAATTGAAATGAGTGTACAAAAATTAGACAAAAATGGTTTCAGTGGAAAGCAGGAAATAAGCACCAGCAGATTTATTGCCCCTTGCATATATTATTCTTCCCTTAGTCTAGGGATGAATCAAAGTGCTGGAGTAGATCAAGTTAATGGATCCTTGTCAGCAGCTGGAAAGAAAAAGGTAATGTATGGGGTCAATATCTTAAACTACATCAAGGTGATCTCAGTATTTGTTATGAACTCATTTTTCCTCTGTACTTATTTTTTGTCTGTTTTGAATCAGGAGCCATCAACTGGAGTCCAACAAAGACGAGTACTACTAGTTTTCATTTGCATTCCAGTTAGTCCAGGGAATAGCAGATTGATATTCACATTTCCAAGAAATTTTGGAGTTTGGATTGACCAAATTGTTCCAAGATGGATGTTTCATGTGGGACAAAATTTGATCCTTGATTCAGACTTGTATCTTCTTCATGTAGAGGTACTCTTGTCATGCTTCATGAAAGTATTGGATTTTATTTGCTCAACCAGTTAGTATTTTCCAAATGACAAATACTAGGACTAGGAATGGCAGCCACTGTGCAGGTTAGAGCACAGAGAATTGTTCTAGAGGCTTTGACAGTAAAGAATTGGCAAGCTGTAAGCAGAATAAGTTGAAGTTTTTTCTTATACAATTAGTTAAAGTTAGGAAGAAAAATAATCTCTATGAAAGGGTTGGTCATTTAAAAACCAAAACAATTCAGCTTATGATGGGAATATCCTGACTGAACTAGAGCTATTAACTGTTGGCCTAAAAAGAAAAGAACAGGAACTATTCACTTGCTACAAACTGTAGTTGAGTTAGATTATTATTTTAAGAACACTTTTAAAATAAAAATAAAATAAAATAAAATAAAAGCAATTGTTCCAAGATTTATTGAATGACTGTGAACTTGAAGAAGAGATATCTAGCATATCTTGGAGAAGAGTTACCTAGCATAAAATTATTACACCTTTTCTAAAATTAATCGTTTTAAATACTGCTGGTGGTCTTAGATGTTTGAAGAACTTGAAGTAAAGTTTGGTTTCATTTCCTTAGGATTCAGCTGCCGCAATGTTGGGCTATAGAAATGTGTTAAGCTTCCTCTTCTTCCCAATTTTTCCTATCACTAATGTTATTCCAAGATGATCTTGCTTTCATATTGTTTTCGTCAGTTTTCATTGTTGGCATGTTCTTTTGAGTCCATGAAAACTTCAAATTTAAAAAAAATTAATGCCTAGCAAGGAAACTGAACTTATGGGCTACACATTCGAGGTGCTTCCTCCATCCCTGAAACTCCCTCTTCCACTGAAGTCAAACTTGATCCAATGTAGTTTTGTTGACGTACATTATGCATAACATTTGATTTGTATGTTCTCACTGTAGGAGCGCAAGATAATCAATGTTGGCCCTTCCAATTGGCAAAAGGCTTGTTTTGTGCCAACAAAGTCAGATGCTTATGTTATTGGCTTTAGAAAGTGGTTAAACAAGTTTGCAGGAGGTCAGGTTGATTGGCGAGGCAAATTTAGTGGAGTCTTACCACCTTCTCCTCCTAGAGAACAACTGATGGACAGGTAACTCATTTGGAGCAATATCCTGACAGTATTTTGGTTTCACGCTTTAGTTCAATAACCTCAAGTTTTAAAACACTTTTCAATATACCCCAAATAGCAATCAGATGATCACAATGAATCAGCTTGCTTGTTCACAGCCATGTTTTCTGCATTTGTCCGAGGGCATTCCTTTCCTATGAAGCTGGGTGCCAGCCATGAGTAGTAGTTGAGTACATTGATGTTTCTTTAATGATTGTTTCAGGTACTGGTCTCACGTAGTTAACTGTACCAGCTGCAGTGCAGCACATAAGGGTCTTAAAGCTCTTGAGGTTGTGCTTCAGGTTGCCTCAATTGCATTGATCGGGATTGTTGCTGCAACTAAACAGGGAGTAATCTCACCAGTTGCAAGACCTACATTGGTCTCCATTGCAATATTATGCTTTGCTGCTTCCAAATGGTTATCCCACTTCATCTACAAGAATTTCCATTTCCATGACTACAACCATGCACTGCGCTGAACATAAACTACGGAGCTTCAAGAATACCATATCCGTTGCCGTTGACAAGGACCGAGCCAGAAATTCAAGTTAAGGAAGGCAAAAAGTTAAAATTTTTTGTGAGTTATTTTTTACTTTACATTAGTATAATTTATACTAGTTTCTATATCGGCTATTAATTTTATGTACGTACTATTTAAGTTATACATGTAAAACTTTAAAATAATTAGATATATTTAGTTTTATTAAGAAAATTAGATATATTTAACTATTTTGGAATTTTGAATGATATATACTTTAAAACCCTTAAATAAATGATATAAAAATCTAATTCTTTTTTTTTTTGAATGGTTATCTATATCAAAACAACTTTAATTTGAAATGTAGGATTTATATGAATAGAATAATTTTAACCATTATTTCATAGAACATAAATTGTATAGAAAAATTATATATAACAAATATAAAAACTTTTATAAATTATATCAATGTAATTGATTAAACTTTGACTATTTTTTAGTATTTTTTCTTACCTCAAGCAAATTATCATATCTTAGAAATTAATCACCAAGAGAGACATGGTTCCTTTAACTAAGTTCTAAATATTTTCTTTACATTTGAAATGTTCACCATAATTTAAAAACTTGACAAAAATTTTTTATAGAAAATAAAAATTAATGTACCATATTTGAAATTTTTGAAAAGCTTAGGGGTGGCTGCCCCCCTTGTCCTACATTGGCTCCGTCCCTGGCTGTTGATATATGTTACAGACGTATAGCCGAGAATGATGAAAACATTTATGGTTGAAGTTGGTGTAGAAAAAAATAATATATTGTTGAATTTGGATGTAAATAGAAAATTCTCGGAAAGTCCTTCTGTCTCTTACAATCTGCTGGGGATTTAATATGCCATTGATCTCAAGTTCTTGATGAGTTCATGCCTTTATTATTTACAGTTAAGGTGTCATCATCAGCTGTTGCATGAAAATCACCTTCAAACAACCGTACCTTTTGCTTGTGTCTCTGTATTTCTTGTTGTTTAACACTAAAAGTAAGTTCCAAAGAAAAAGTTATGTCAATGCGTCTTCCATTCAAAATTGATTTCAATTTTTCGTTTTGGGTCAAGAACATCTCTATTGATTAAGTGTTAAAAATTAATAAATTTTCTTTTAAATTAATAAAGAAACAATAAATACTTATTCTTCACTCATCTCTTACATAGAAAATAATTAATTGAGTTATTTAATTTTAAATAAATTCATTTTTTTAAGGTTAAAAGTACAGTATTAAAATTCTTAAATTACTAAATAAATTATTTAATACTTTAATTTTGCCTTATTCTTATAATCAATATAAAAAAAAAAACCTTATTTTTTTTATACGTAAAAAAAGGGGGTTTTACTTTCTCTTTTTTAAACTATTTTTCAATTATCTTAAAATTGATATTTAAAATATTTAATATAAAAATTTAAATTCTTAATTAATAAGTTGGAAATTTAAAAAAAAAAAGAAAAAAGAAAAAGGCTTTCTTTTCTTTCTTTCTTTCTTTCTTTCTATGATTTGGTACAACCAAGAGAGCTTCAAGATTACACTGTAAAGAACTTTTATTTGTAAAAAAAATGATTATGCCATTACTGAACTGTGAAGTGTGAACAACTTAGTAACAAAAGAATCTGACATTTTTTTTCCTTCTAACAAAAGCATCAACTAAGAAACAGACACCAAACCTCATAATTTTTTGGAATAAAATCAAATCTATCAGATCTTGACAGCTGCATTCTTCACCCTCTCTCCTTCTCTCTCCAGTCCAATTGCAAAGTCCATTCCATGTCCTCATTACCTCTGCCACTACTTAGAATTTTCAAGATCTGATTGATTCTGGAACTTGGGTTTTCGTGGAAAGTGAACTCCATTCAAGGTTCATATGTAAGCATAAATCCTATCCTTAACCTCTATTCTTCTCTAAGTTCTGTTTTGCCATTACCCATTTTGATTTCATGTTTTATTTCAACTTTCTGATTAGTTTTAGTGGTTTGGGTTTCAGAAATTCATGTGGGAATTTGATTATAGTTCAATTGCAGTTGGACGTTTTGTGCTTTGATTTGAAGGTCTGGTTTGTTTTTGCAATTGGGTTTTTGAAGATAAAGAAAACCCATGAAGGATTCAGACTTTACCACCGAACCCTTAGGCCAGAACCTCATCAAATTGATAGGCAATCTATGTTTCTCAGTGTTTGTCTTCTCAGTTTTGATATTTACGGTTATTGCCATTACCTACCAGCCACCAGATCCATGGCTGGAGTCAGCTCCAGCCTTAACTAAGCTCTTCACTCAGTCTGAGAATGCCACCTTCAAGAATGATAATTCCATCCTTAAAACTGGTGAGGATTTGATTGCTGCAGCTGCCCCTGCGGTGTCGCCAGCTGCTGCTGTCAATCCCATCACTGAAACAGTTATTGAGAAGTCTGAAGAGAAAATCACAAAGATGAATCTAACATCAGATTGTGAGGACTTAAAGGTTGTGAATTGTTCAGACCCTCGTGTTCTGCTTGCGGTAGAGAAGTTCAATTTGAGGGTTTTCAAGTCCATTGTGTTTCTGGACTATCGGACTCCAGTTAATGGATCAAAACCGGATGAGTGTGATGTGGCTTGGAGGTTTAGGAACAAAAAGGAGAAGTCTTGGAGGAAGTATAGGGATTTTAGAAGGTTTAGGTTCAGCAATGGAGAGAATTGTACCTACAAAGTGGTGCATGCCAGTGGTTGGCATTCTGGAATTAATGCTCGGAGGCCAAGGAATAGGCTTACTCCCACTAGGAGCGGTGGGACTGCAAAACTCTCTCCGCCAGTTCGTGATGAGGAGATCAATGATACAATTCCAAGCTTGGGTTCAGACATGGCTTTTAGGAAGGGGAAGTATTTGTATTATTCAGGTGGAGGAGATTACTGTAAGGGAATGAACCATTACTCGTGGAGTTTCTTGTGTGGGTTAGGGGAGGCTATGTATCTGAATAGAACATTCGTAATGGATTTGAGCATTTGTTTGTCTGCAACTTATAATCCTAGTAATAAGGATGAGGAAGGAAAAGATTTTCGTTTCTATTTTGATTTTGAGCATCTAAAGGAGGTGGCCTCAGTGGTAGAAGTGGACGAGTTCTTGAAAGATTGGAAGAAATGGGATCAGATCCATAAAAGAAAAGTGCCAGTCAAGAAGGTTTCTACCTATAAGGTTACACCCATGCAACTTAAGAAAGATAAGAGCACAATCATTTGGCGGCAGTTTGATGCTCCAGAGCCAGAGAATTATTGGTATAGGGTATGTGAAGGGCAAACTGCAAAGTACATTCAGAGGCCATGGCGAGCTCTGTGGAAATCAAAGAGACTGATGAATATAGTCACTGAAATCAGTGGGCGAATGGACTGGGATTTTGATGCTGTCCATGTGGTTCGAGGAGAAAAGGCAAAGAATAAGGAGCTTTGGCCACATTTGGATTCTGATACGTCCCCTGATGCTCTTATTGCAAAGCTCCAAGGAATGATTCAGCCTTCGAGGAATCTGTACATAGCCACCAATGAACCATTCTATAATTACTTTGATAAATTGAGGTCTCAGTACAAAGTTCATTTGCTTGATGATTACAAGGAATTATGGAGTAACACTAGTGAGTGGTACAATGAGACGATGCTTCTGAACAATGGAAAACCAGTTGAATTTGATGGGTACATGAGAGTGGCTGTGGATACTGAGGTCCTTTACAGGGCAAAGACACGTGTGGAAACATTTTATAATTTGACCAAGGACTGCAAGAATGGAATTAATACGTGCTGATCAGGTTCAGAATATCATTTTCTGCACTTTTTTCCCCTCAGATCGATTCATATCTCATGGATGTTCTTTAACTTTTCTTTTATTCTATCACAGAATGAAATTGTTGAGTTCACTGTAGTCTTGTCTGATTCTATCCTTCTTTTGTTTTGTGAGTGGCTTTTTTGTTTCTCTTAATGATAACAAATCTATATCTCTTACATATTCGAGCAGTAGGTGTAAGTATGAAGAACTGAAATTCTGAACTTGAGTCTTCTCAGCATCATGTTGACACTAGCATGATTAATTATTGAAATTGGAACTACCCAGTTGAGCTTGCTTCTGCTTTGTGCTTTACTAGCTTCCTGCTTCATACCTCCTGCTAGTCAGCATTTTCAGTTGATTTTATGACCCAGGTTTTCAACTTACACTGGTTTCGCCTTTGTTTGTGACTGTTTTGAATTCAAGAATGCGCATCATTATATGTAGCAATTAGGCTTTGGGTCATGGTTAGCGATTTTACTCAATTCACTAAGATGAGTATTTTTTAAATTTATTTATTTTAAGTATTTCATAAAATTTTTTATTTAATAGTTTGATATTAG